ATCTCTAAAAAAAAAAAAAAAAAACTAAAAAAAACTCTATAATCATTTCTTTACAATTTTATAACCTGCTCATTTAAATGTTAATGTCCTGAAAGTTAGACATAATACACTGCTATATTTTACTAATTAAGGATTACTCATTGTCTTGATGAGTGGTAGGCATTTGCTTGGTGAACATTTAAAATTTGGCCCATTTTTATTGGTTAAATTATCTCTTTTTATTAACGAACCTTAATATACTAGCATCGTATTGATTTCATGTTTTACTATTCTTTACTTGTAAATATTGCATTTTATCAAAACTTTCTTAATACCATATTTTTCTCTGAGCTGGTTTTCATTCTGAAATTACAACTATTTCTGCCTTCTTTTTTTTTTCTTTCTTCAAATAATCAAAAATAAAAATACCAAGACAAAAATTGGCTGATTTCTTCAAGAGCAGACAATAGAAATGTCAGAAGTCCTTATGTGGCTATTTGCCAACAATTGACCTCATCAGCCCACATCTAAGGATCACATGGTTGTGCCATTTTGCGGTTTCTCTGAAGTAAATGTTCAAAACAATAGTGCAATTAAGTCAGTTCTCAACTTTAGAGTCTTAGGTTTTTTTTTTGTTGTTTTTTTTTTTTTTTCCAATCTTTGCCTAAGTAATTTAATAAAGTGACTTAGTGTTTTTACTTTATTTTTTTTAAAGATAATTATTAAGCACAGCTTTGTTTGGGGACAAGGCTGCAGGTAGTAATTCTGTGTGATCAATTTGTTAACCATTACACAAAGAAAAGTATCGCCAAGATAGAAATGATATAAACAAATTACTTAGTGCTGTTTCAGTTATGTTTCAAACATGCTTAAAAAAACAACCAGTATTTAATTTTTTTTTTTTTTTTTTTTTTTTGTGGCATAGTGGGGTAAATGTTGATCTTAATAAGGAAATTTACAATATCTTGTATTTTCATAATGCTTAATTTGGAAATTTTGTATTTCTGCCTTCATAAATATTGTCTACAATTCTGTGTAATTATTCCACAAGACTAATGCTACATTTTTTTTTTCCACTGCCTACAGAAAACTTCAACACAACATACCCTCCTCCAAAAAAAAAATAGGCAAATTATGTACCTGAAGAAGGCTGAAGCAACTGAAACCATACAAAATTCAACAAAGCTGATAATGTTAGAATAGCTTATGGAATTCTGCTTCTACATTCAGCATGAGCTCTTCCCTCTCTCCTCCCTCCTCTCAATTTTGTTTCATTATCCTAGAGAATTTCTTTCTCTATATTTATGTATCAGCAAGTGTTGTCTATTACTGTTGAGATTCTTATCAAATATTTGTTCACCTGGTCAGTATTTCTCTCTTGGCTCTTGTTTTTTTTATTCATTTTCACTGTATTATAGCAAATGAGCACTTCAATCGCCTTTATTTCAACATCCACTGCATTATCTTTCAATGATTTTCCTATTTCTGACACAATTGCGTCTGAAGAAAACGGAGACATTTGTCTTGAATGCAGTAAAGAAAGAATAATTTCATATTAAAAAATAAAAAGAATGACAAATCTTCCTACAATCTGTTTTTGACAACAAACCAACTGCAAACAAGCCTGAAGGTTATAATTGGCTATTTTCGGAAGGGCGGGTAACTCTTCTGAGAGTTTTTCTTCATAATTTGAAGTGTCAATTGAGGAAGGGGGTGTGGCACTATAAACACTATGAAAGTATAATATGAAAGTAATGCTATTGTTCAGTGTATTGAAAATTTTTCACTTGGGATGAATAGTCAAGTAATCTTACTCTCTAATCTACACTAAATAAATGATGACTTTATTTTTTTTAATTACTACTTTTTGTCTTATTGTTTTGTTTTTCTTATATTTCTATGTACTCTTCAACCTCTGAAGTAAATGAAAAATCACATTTGAGACTAGAATTCGCTTCCCATACCTGAGGAGCCCTTTCAAGCTGCCTATATCATTCTGGGCACAGATTTGTAATCATTTTACTACCCCCACTTCATTCCCCACATTTTTCCTCACTTGAAGTTTCCATGATCAAAGTAGTCTACACAATATCCATGAATGATTAACTCTGCGTAGAATTTGAGTTTGAATCTTGTCAGAAGCTACTTATTGATCTTCATTTTTATTTTTTATTTTTTTTAATTAATAGTCAAGAGGTTCTTATCAACTTGTGTGCTGTGATAAAAAAGCAAAATTAAGATGTTGAAAAACCTAGTAAAATAGTAACAAAAGTGTTTGAACTTTTGAACTTTTTCCACAATGATTAATAAGAAATGGGAATTGAAAAATAAGTCTTTGTCAAGACTTTAACTTTTATCTGTATCCTCAGAAGCCCAATAATCATTAGATGACAGCATTTTGTGGCCTTTGCTTAAAGGAATAATGAAAGAAATATTGAAAATTAATGTTTCTCTTAAATTTTAACCTGACACTTGTACAGATTAGTTGAAAAATATTAAATATTTCTATTTAGTGCATTAAACTCTGATTTTTTTTTGATTTTTTTTTTTTTTCCTTTTAAATAGTATAAAAGAAAAATCCCTTGTTTATATACATACTTACTCTTGCTCAAAATAAATACATGTTTTTCATTGTTTTCTATGGATGCAGATAATGGAAAGGGAAGGTGTGCATTTAATATAACATCCTCTTCAGGCATTAACTATTTTGGTAATCATATTAAAAAAAAAAAAATTGTAATACTATAATAGTTAGACATAGGCTCATTAAATGTAACAATATATGCTGATTGTATTTCTGTGGAAATCTCTCAAGAATCTTTGTTCATAACACCAGATGTAATGAAACTATGGTCAGGCATTCCAGCCAGTTACCTCAGTTACTGGTCTGTCAATATCCTCTGCCTACTTTTAGATAAAATCTGAAATCCTAAACTTGGGATTGAAACACTGCAAAACCAAGTCAACTATGTCACACAAAACCAAAGTTCCAGAGACTGATCAAAATCTTGAAATAATGAAGATTGGAATGCTTTAACAAGGTTTTAATAAAATAGTTTTTATTTCTGTGGCAACATAAACACTTGAAACTGGCCTCCTGTAGTCTGAAATGCATATTGCTTGTTTACAGCTATCACAATAAAATAACAGACCTTTATCTGTTTGCTGTATTCTCCCTCTGTTCAAAGGTTGTGCAATAATGCAGTGGTCTGTTCATTTTCAATTACTATTGCAATTTGCCCTTCTCATATCTCTTCTTTGCTGATATGTGGTACTAAAGTGCACCACACGCTTGTATATATGGAACTCAATCTGCTGGCTGGTCACCAATGAAATATTGGTATGATTTGACTGTTAATTTATGCTTCAGAAGGGTCTTATTTATTCAGGAAACATGTGGCCAGCTTGCCACTTGACAGTTCTGATAACCTGATTGCTGAAAACTATTTCTATGAAACCACCAGCAAATTTCTTTTTATAAACAAACCACATGGCCTAAATTTTTTGGAAAATCTTTCATCTGAAATTCTAAGAAACAACACCAATATGATGGATAGGGCTTTATGTAAATTACTTGCTCTCAAAGACTTTCAGAGACATTTTTTTCCTCTCTAATTTGGCAAGTGTTGTGGTTGGTTAGTGTTGTACCCAATTAGATGGTATCACCAAGTTAATATTCAGGTTCAAGACCTTCAAAGTCTGTAAACCCATATTTATCAAAACTAATGAACTTTTTGTCCCCTGTATTTAATTCTAATACTTGTTAAATGTAATCTATTTTCTCAGGTTTTTTTCCCCAGCTCTATATCAGAAAACTTGGCCTTTCTCCCTTTAGTTTTACTGGATCACTGCTCACTTTGTCAGAAACTTGAATTTAAGTTAACAAAAAATTTACTATACTATTTATTATATCATAAGTTTGGATTTTTTTTATTCAGTTTTAGAACTGAATAAATCTGAAATTAACTTTTGTTTACTTTTTAAATCAGATATAGACTCTTTAGTACTAATTTCAGATTTGTATGATGAAAAGTGCATTTCTGAAACTTGCAAAGAATTTTTTTTTTTTATTTATTTTTTTATTAAACTTTGAACCTCACACTTTCTCCTAACCTTAAATGTTAGAAGTGGCACATCTCACCTGCTGAAGAGGTTTCCTCCATCTCTTGTGTTATACTAGATACCTGATATTTGGTATGTCTGTCTGGTGTCATCTTAAAATCAATATTTGATATCTGCTGCTTTACCAGCATTAAATGAATCTTTGGCCAAATTTCAAATATCTCTTTATTTAATAAATAAGCCTAATGAAACTTTTTTTAAGCTTTCTGTAGTTTAAGCAATTTTTAAAAACTGCAGGAAAATAGCTTTGTTGAACAATTGCACAAGGCTTTTTTCTATTAAAGCAAAATCTCCTCACTTTATAGCATTTTTTACCTTCCTTATTTAAATCTTATTTTTAGAAACGGATATATATCTATAAATTTGTGCTGCTTCTATCACCAGAAGCAGGTTTATATTTGAATCTTCAGTAATCTTTCATGTTTTTAAGATATCTGCAAGTGAAAATTTTCACTTGTATATCTTTATTAACCATTTAAGCAAAACTTTTTTTTTTTTTTTATTGAATTGCCTGATGTGATCAATATAAGTTTTAATAAATAAAAGTTGGGTTCAGGTTTTAATATTTGTTGAGCCCTTTGGAATCTTTGTCACACGTTGACCCCCCCCCTTTTTTTTTTTTTTTTTTTTTTTTTTTTTTTTTTTTTTTTTTTTAGAATAAAAGATTGGATTGATAAAATGGAAAAACAAAACTTCTTTGAATCTTAATGTAGTTCAAACCTATGTCTATGACATGAAATGTTTGCTTCTTCCTTTCTCCTCTTATGTTTTTATGGAATACCTTTTAACCTTGTAATATTGTATATAATATAAAATGTTTTTTCTCAAAATCTATACCACATTTGTTTGTGTGCATTGTGATGTTTTGCCTTTAACTTTTGACTCTTTCTCTGTTGCAGTTATGCTGTGATAGCAACTGGCTGTGCTAGTTGTCCTAAACTGAAGTGTGAACGTCCTGAATGTGAGACAGATTTCTGTTACCATTGTAAACAGATCTGGCATCCTAACCAAACATGCGATGCAGCCCGGGCAGAACGATCCCCAAATATGCGAGCTGCAGCACTTAATTACAATCATGAAACAGGATCGCAAAGTGAGTCAACTTTGTGCTGACATTTTAAAATTCTCACTACACTGAAAAAAAAAATTCAATTTTGTTTGTATTGATTTAAATGACTTATTTTACATTTAGGAGTTAATGGCTATTTTTACAAAATCAAAATCTATTTTCAGACAACGTCATAACCTAATGTAAAGAATCCAGGAAGAGGTCTTCTAAGTGAGTCAGCTTATAGTGAAATGTCACAAGAATTTATTAAAGTCATCAAAAATATTAATAAACAGCTTTGCTATCCATTTAAAGACACAGATTTCCATCTTACATCTGAAGAGTTTTTCTTCAAAAAATTTTAAGTAAAAAATGTGCCTGTGAGGGGCAAATGTTTATAATTTGTCAGTCAGTAAAATGATTCAGGTTTTCTCTTAGTACCAAAATTCTATAATTCTCAATGTTTCAAAAAAAAAACATAACTTTTTAAAATTCTTTATTTATACTGCATGTAAACAGATCTCATTGAATAAAAGTTAAAGGAACCACAATTGTCTATAAATATCTTAAAAATGGCTTTTGATTCTAATTGTCTATGAAAAACCTTTTTATAACAAAAAAAATGGATTATTTCAATAAGATTCACACATCTAATATGAAATAAACAAATTTGATAATCTCAAACATCAATAAAACTTGGTTTTTACATGAGCTAATAATGTGACTGTTCTTGTGATAGCAAAACTTAGTTAATGTTTTTCTTACATCCTGTTAAGATATTGAAAAATCATAGATTCTTTGCAGTATAATGTTCAGCTTGGGTGTGTTGATGGTACCAAAAATGATGCAGTTTGCCACAGGTTATACAATGTATTGGGTGGCAGCATAGCAAAGCATAATAGCAGCCTTTTCCTTAAATTTAGATGAGGTTAATGTGTTTTAGGTTTCTAGATTGGTGTTTGCTTTTAATTATTTTGGTTGTTTTTAGTATATTATTCAGACTGAATAATATATAAAAAAACAACCAAAATAATTAAAGCAAACGCCAATCTAGAAACCTAAAACACATTAACCTCATCTAAATTTAACCAACACACAAATACAGGGAGCCACAAAATGCAAAAAAAAAGATGTGGGGTTTGTGACATCATTATAGAAGGAAATTCCTACACTTTTGACAACCCAAAAAAAACATTCACAATAAATAAAAACTTAAACTGCAACTCCAAAAATGTAATTTATGTACTTAAATGCACAAAATGTAAGAAGTCATATATAGGCATCAGCCAACAACTGAACAACAGGGTGTCCCTACACAAAAGCAATATAAAATTAACAGAAAACTTTTTGTATCACAACACATTTTCAAATGTAACCAGGGTAAATTTAATATCATGCCAATATATCAAACAATTACTCATACCTACAAATACAAGAAAAAAACTTTATAAGCAAATTTAAACCCAAACTAAATAGATCATAACCCCACACACAAAAACACACAACATGCACGCAAGGTGACCAAATACAATGATCAAATCACTCACATACATGAACACACGCTCATATACGGGAGACACGAGGATATATATATATATATATATATATATATATATGTACTGATTCCTTGTGGTGGGATGGTGTGTATGTGCATATGCGTGTATATGTACAAATGAGTTTACTAATTCCTCGTAAGACAGTATATGTATGAAGGGGGAATATACGCACACATATATATACGCATGCTGACAGAAACACACAAAAATGGAAACAGATCCAAGAACACATAGGAGTCAGTAAAACATTAAAAGATAAAATGCCAATAACTAATTCATCATTTCGCTTGGACCAACCTTAATTGTTTTATGACCCTTCACGCAGAACTCTTCATTGCCAATTCAAGAAAGAAATTCGGATTTCTAACACAAAAACAGAGAATGTCTCATCTTGAGAATATTTAACATTGAACATAAGGAAAAATTAATTATTTTTAATATGTGGAAATCTCCGCTTTTTACCTGAAGACGGTCATGAGACCAGAAACACGTAGTAAAAATTATGTAAAACAAAGCATAATATTTTTTTCTAAATAAATCCACATTACAACCAAAAAACATTTTATGCACCTCTCTTCTCTTTTTAATATACATACTTTTCTCTCGTTGGAACCACTACAACCTTTTTTCTTATATATATATATATATATATATATATATATATATATATATATATATACACACACACACACACACAACTGAGAATTTTTTTTTTTTTTTTTTTTTAAGACTAGCAGTGGTTTTGCCAAAAGGTGCTTAATACATATCTAGGCTTATATTCATTAAATTAAAAGTTCATTTGACTTATCTGGTTAGTCAAGTCAATATTTTTGCATTGAAACTCATCAGGATTTATGATTTTATCAAATATTTGGCCCTGCTGATTAGCATTTCAACGAGAACCTTAAGTTGGCTTACCACATTGGTTGGTTGAAATTTTAATTTATTGAAAATAAATATATATATATATATATATATATATATAGTGTAACCCGAATATAAGAGAGTTGTCAGGACCGGAGAAGTCGTCTCTTATATCCGGTTTGGTCTATTTTATATACATTAACACAGGCTCTAATTTGGCAACAGAGAAAATCTCTCTTGTATCCGGGTTTCTCATATATATATATATATATATATATATATATATATATATATATATATAAGTTGATATGATTGAGAAATCTGTATAAACTAGGCTTGTAAGCAACAATGTGTTTATCGAAATTCACCTACTGTGCTAAGAACATAAATGATGAATAATTTAAACACCTGTAATAAACTTTGAACTGAATGTCCAATCTCTTGGTTAATGATCTTAAAATTTTTTTTTTTTTTTTTTTTTTTTTTTTTTCAAAATATTGATTCATCCAGCTGAACATTGGATGATAGTCTTGTGAATACTCGGTTAATTTTCATGCAGCAGATTCCATGGGTTTTTTTTTTTTTCCAAGGATGACAAATACATAAAACCCCTCAGCTTATTTATATATTAAACAAAACCAGTCTTTTTTTTTTTCTTTTTTTTTTTTATTCAACATATCAATTGCTAAAGAATTTTCATGCCATATGTTTACTGTTTAGAATTTTACAATGTTCACTCTGTACAAAGACCAAGAGCCACTCAAGTTAGAGGGCGGCACAGTTTATGGGGATATGTAGGGAAGATACTAGTTTGTGTGAATGATAAGTTAACATAGACTTGAACAGGTTAAGATTGTGTAAGATATGTAATGATAAATGTAAGATAATGTAAAGGCATTGGCTTTTTTTTAAATTTTTTAAATTTAATGTTATGTCAGTTTTGTTGATATATGGACACTATCTTTTGACATAGTCAAGTATTTATTCCTGTTATCTACAAACTTAAGAAATAATTGCTTTTTTGTCTCTCCTCTTGTCTCTCCTCTTGTCTCTCCTCTTGTCTCTCCTCTTGTCTCTCCTCTTTTCTCTCCTCTTGTCTCTCCTCTTGTCTCTCCTCTTGTCTCTCCTCTTGTCTCTCCTCTTGTCTCTCCTCTTGTCTCTCCTCTTGTCTCTCCTCTTGTCTCTCCTCTTGTCTCTCCTCTTGTCTCCTCTGTCCTCCTCTCCCTCTTGTCTCTCCTCTTGTCTCTCCTCTTGTCTCTCCCTTGTCTCTGTCTCTCCTCTTGTCTCTTGTCCTCTTGTCTCTCCTCTTGTCTCTCCTCTTGTCTCTCCTCTTGTCTCTCCCTCTTGTCTCTCCTCTTGTCTCTCCTCCTCTCCTCTTGTCTCTCCCTCTTGTCTCTCCTCTTGTCTCTCTCCTCTTGTCTCTCCTCTTGTCTCTCTCTTGTCTCTTGTCTCTCCTCTTGTCTCTCCCTCTTGTCTTGTCTCCTCTTGTCTCTCCTCTGTCTCTCCTCTCTCCTCTTGTCTCTCTCCTCTTGTCTCTCTCCTCTTGTCTCTCCTCCTCTTGTCTCTCCTCTTGTCTCCTCTCTCCTCTTGTCTCTCCTCTTGTCTCCTCCTCTTGTCTCCTCTTGTCTCTTGTCCTCTTCTCCTCTCTCCTCTCTCTCTCCCTTGTCTCTCCTCCTCTCCCTCTTGTCTCTCCTCCTCCTCTTGTCTCTTGTCCCTCTCTCTCCTCTGTCTCTCCTCTTGTCTCCTCTTGTCTCTCCTCTTGTCTCTCCTCTTGTCCTCTTGTCCTCCTCTTGTCTCTCCTCTTGTCTCTCCTCTTGTCTCCTCTTGTCTCTCCCTCCTCTTGTCTCTCCTCTTGTCCTCTCTCCTCTTGTCTCTCCTCTTGTCTCCTCTTGTCTCTCCTCTTGTCTCCTCTTGTCCTCCTCTTGTCTCTCCTCTTGTCTCTCCTCCTCTTGTCTCTCCTCTTCTCCTCTTGTCTCCTCTTGTCTCTCCTCTTGTCTCTCCTCTTGTCTCTCCTCTTGTCTCTCCTTAATAACATTCTTATCTACTGAGAAGACCTGTTGCATTATTCATGTGACTATAATTGTGCCATTACTAGATTCTTTAAATAAAAAAGCAAACTTTGCAACTGTATTCTCATGAAATTTGACCTGTCATTAATAGTTCCACATCTTCTGTTGAATGAGAATTGAAAGGGAACTGACATAAGCTGGTATTTGTGCCAGTTCTGCTTTATCCAGGTAGGTTTGTTAAAGATTAACAATTTTGTGTCTCATCAGCATAAAATGATAGTTTATACTCTGCATCATTGTTTGTATATAAATCTCTTCCTGAACATTTGTACTTAGTTTAAATACAATGCGACTTTCTCTTTCATCTTCCAATGCAGTTGCACAAATATTTTTAGACTTTTTGTCTTTATCTTGAGCATAGAAACCTAGACATTGGTTTCTCTGTTATTATCCATTAATCATATTAATAACAAAAAAAAGACAACCTAGGGCAAAGGTTTCATAGTCCTCTTTAAAGTACACTCCTTTTTGGGACCTCTTACACTTATCCCAGCATTCATTTCATTTCCAGAAACAGTTTCTAAAGTCGTCTTTTGGGATCATTATCAGCTACTCTCCCTCCCCATTTTCATTGTTTAAGTTAAAAGGTAAGAAACTAATCAAATCTTTTCAAATAACCATTTTAAGTTTCTTAAATCAATTTTTTCATATGAAATTGTATTTCTCTCTTTCAGAAGATGACATTAAGCCATGTCCTCGCTGTAGTGCATTCATCACAAAAATGAATGATGGTTCTTGTAATCATATGACTTGCACTGTGTGTGGTGCTGAGTTTTGTTGGCTTTGCATGAAGGAAATATCAGATCTTCATTATCTGAGGTAAGCTTTAAAAAAAAAAAAAAAAAAAGCTTTCCTTGTTTTCTTTTCTTTCCTCTAACCAGCATGAACAATTGGGTTTTTGATTTTCATTAAGATGATTAGTGGAGTTTTAAGATTTCTTTTTTTTTTTCTTTTCCACAAAGGTTTCAAATTTCCAGTAAAATATATTTTATTTTATTTTTTTTTTTTTTTTTTTTTTTTTTTATTAGCCAAGAAAAATTCTGGAGCTACAACTAGTTGAGTCAAATTAATGAATTAATCTTCAAGAATGTTTGGTCTGCACTTTCTTTATTTAAAACTGCCCCCTTCATTTTATTTGTTTGCAAGTTCAACTTAAGCATTATAGTGTATAAGTGATATTAAAGCCATCTGGCCCTTGATAGTGATTCTCAGTTAGTGTAGGTGTTGCTATTTGTGCATTGGCATTAGATTCATTATATTTGAATCATTTCACAAAATACAATTAACAATTTCTAATCATAAAGTAAATTTTAATTTCATAATTACAAATATCCATTTTAATAAATCATAGCTTTAAGTTCTTTTGTTATTTCACTTTGGTAACATTTGATAAGAATGAGAAACTAAATTACTCCTATTTACATTATTAGGGCTATTGTCCTTATCTTTGTCGCCATATTTATTACGTTTCGGCCGTTGTACACTCCGGCTTTCTTCCGGTGGTTGGAATGTCGAACTGAACCCTTTATTTATGTGCCATGTCTAATGGATGTCGATTATCTCCTGTTAATTTACCTCTGAAAGTTCTGTGCTGCCTTAACCAGGTATTGAACTCACACTCTTTGGGTCCTGTCACTGGATCTAACCAATGCCTTTATCCACTGAGCCATGTGTCCTTGAGGAATTTCTGGGTATTATCAACCTAATGTATTCTGCAACCATTTTTACCAGTGTTTATATTGCAATTTTTTGCTGTTATCATTGCACTTTTACCAGAGCCCATATTGCAATTTTTGTTATCGCCTTTTCTCTCGCACTCCTTATTACTGGTTCCCATATTGTATTCATTTCTATGCTTGGTCGGCTCAGGAGATTTTTGTAGACTAGCATATGTTCTAATTCCTTAAGTTTACGAATTTTCCAATGGTGTTCTTTGTCTATGATCTCAACCTGATCCCACAGAGGGTGGTGATCTCCCTTTTCCCTCCTTATGTGGTCAGCCACACTTGATTTTTCCACTTCCTCTCATGTTACAGCTTTCTGGTGTCCTTGAAGCCTTACCTTAAGTGGGTGGCCTGTCTCCCCCTTTATATTTCTTTCCACAGCTGCACGGTATAGTGTACACACAGTCTTTAGTCATGTTCTCCTCTATGGGGGTGTCTTACTCAGGAGAGATATCTGCGAAGTGTCATCCAGCTTTTGAAGATTGTCCTCATGTTATATGGACCGCAGATCCTTTGTATTTTCTCTGATAACCCCTTCACATAAGGCAGGCAGAATGTTTTCTGAGTAGTGTTGTCCTCCTCCTCTTGTACCCACCTATCCCAGTTTTTGGGGGCTGCTGCCGTGTACCCAGGATAGTTATGTTGTAGGGTACTACTTATACTGACCAATTCTTTATCTAATGTCTCTGGGTCACCACTTATTTTTGTTCGGTGTTGTAAGCAGCGTACGATTCCTTTCTTTACGCTGTATGGATGGTGTGAGTTGAAATTGAGGTACTGTCCAATGAATGTCTGTTTATGGTATATGGATGTCTTGAACCCATGCTCTGTTCAAGATATTAGAACATCCAGGAATGGGATTGTGTTGTTACTCTTTCTCCATCATGAACTGCATAGGTCTTATTAAGTTCACATGATCCAGTAGAACCTGAACATCTTCCTGGTGCGGCCAGAGTATGAAGGTGTCATCTATGTACATTAACCATAGTTGGCTTTAGAGATATAGATACTAATGCCATTTCCTCAAAGTATTCCATGTATATATTCACCTTTGCTGGTGATAATGGCGAGCCCATTGCTAAGCCCTCATCCTGTCGATATGTGTGATCCCATTCTGAAATGTGTTTGTGTACAGAAAGTCAACATCTCCATCAGATTATCTACTGGAATACTGGTCCATTTTTCTAGGGATGAGTCAGGCCAATCTGTCTCCGACTACTGAGAGTACCTCCTCCATGGGTATCTTAGTGAACAAACTCACCACATCCAAGCTCACCATCTGGTTGGATAGGATGGGAGCATCTTTGATTATTTTCCAGACATATGAAGGAGACTTTCTGATCAATGGGTCAATTATATCTACAAGGAAGCAACTCAGAGGGTGGCACACACAGCCTTGGCAATTAACAATCGGACTGAGTGGAATACTGTCTTTGTGAATCTTAGGGAGACCATATATGTGAGGTAGATTGGTGTAACACTGCGATTAACTGCCTATACGTCTTAGGTGCGAAGTGATACTTATTCTTCATTAGTATCTGCGACAGTTTGCGTTCCGTTTTCATTGTAGGATCCTTTTTTTACTTTGCTGTGGCTACCATTGCTAATGAGGTCTTCCAGCTTTCTTGTATAATCTGATCTGTCCATCACTACAGACACATTGCCTTTGTCAGCCGGTAGTATGATGATGTTTTCATTCCTCTGTAGGGATCCGATTGCAAGCCTCTCCAGTTTCGTGATGTTTGACCTGGGCAGCTTGGCCTTCTTCAAGGTCTGTCTCACCTTCCATCTCAGTTCATCTGCCTGAGCCTGAGGGAAGTTCAAGGCCACCTCCTTGACTCTGGCAATGATGTCCAAGTATGGCACTCACGTGATGTTTGTAGTGAAGTTGAGACCCTTATTCAATACTGACTCCTCAGAGGCACTCAGCTGATATTGGCTGATGTTGATTACTGCTTTCACTGGTGGGTGATGGACCTTATGCATCACCTTCTGATCTTTCAATCTGTTTAATTTTTGTACTTGGAGAGCCTTGACTACATCAAATTCATGTCTGAACGATTTATCCAGGTCATTTTGGTAATTCTGTTGAAGAAATCCTCAAGCCTCTGGGAGATATGAGCTTGTAGTCTGTTTTATCCGACAATTGTACTGGATTCTCTCTCGGACAAGGTGTGTCCCGTTTTTTCTGCAACCAGATGGGCTCTCCTTGAATTGACAGGAAGTCTTGGTGCCAAGCCAGAAGGGATGAGTTGTAGATCTCTGCATCGGTGTAGGAATGTCGGATGGTTTGATATTTATGCCAGTTTAGGATTTTTCAATTTGTCTTTACAATAGTCCAAATAATGTAAATAGTGTACATAATACCTCATCTCAGAAATATAGACAGATACTAAATTACTCCTGTGTAAAATAAGTTTATTCACTTCTGAACGCCAAATTAATGTTGACTGAATGAAAGGTAGGTTCTCCTAGTTTTTTTTTTTTTTTAACATTCAATTTTCTCGTGTGTTGAGTATTTATGTAACTTCCTGTCATCCTGTTTTCTATGTGTATATCCTAATTTCAGTGGAATTGTTTATCTTGGTCCCTCCCCTGGGACTTTCTTTTGAGCCAGGTTATGTAATTGGTGGCTTTGCAATTACTTAGGTCAACTCTCAGGGCTACTAGTTTTGGGACTGAGATAGTACAAAACATAATTTGGTATCTCTTAAGGTTAACCTAGTACAGATCAGGGGTACCACAGATCAACTCTTCTTAGACTAAGATTCCTGATGGACATTAAATTCAATTCAGACCTCTGGTATTTCCTGGCATGAATTACACAAAACTCTCCTTCACATTTTACTTTGAGTTTAAAATATTTTTTGCATAAAATCTTAAGTATAATTTGACAGTCTCATTTTAAGAAAAGCAGAAGGATTATGGAAAAAAATGTTTCCTCAAAGCACATGGTTGGGAAAAGAAAAGAAAAATTGAACTGTTAATTTCAGATTAATATTAATCTGAGTTTTCTAAGTGGATCAAAGTAAATCTTTCATAATAAAATTACTGTGAATAACAAATACTATTAATAAAATGCATTACAGGTGTTATTTATGTTAGCTATTTTTTTATATGTAGATTTGCTCCTTAAACAATTTGATCTCTTTGATATTGGTTCAATATATCTGATTTTACGGTCTCCTGTTACTGCACGTGAATTCTTGATTCCTTGTCTTAAAAAAAAATACCAAATACAATGTGACGATCCCTGCATTTCCATTGGTGATTACTGGTTCAGGCTGATGAATTACTTATTGTGATTGGCCAATGATGCTTTCTAAGCAGATTTGAAAGCACCCGTGCATAAAACAAAGTTACTCATGCGGAAGTTTATCAGATTTTTTTTTTTTTGTTTTGGCTGATACTCTGAAAGCAATTTTCTTAAGCCATAGGCCACCAATGAGACATGTGTCCAGACAAGTGACTTTTTACACTTCATTGAATATATCTCTTAAAAAACAAATTAAGAGGATTTGTTCACTTAATCCTTTACCTGAATTCTTTTCTTTTTGTCATTGTGGAAAACAAAAGCTCATTTCAGAAGTTGCTTAATGAGACTCTAAAATGAAATTTTGTACAAATATTCAGCTTATAGTAATTTATTGTTGACTTCATTTGGCAAAAAGTCTGAGTCTTTTGTTAAACAGTTTGACCGAAGTAAACTCTAATCAAAGTTCCATTGTTGAAGTTTGATTCTGGTTCAATCTTAAATGAAATCTAGCTTGAACAGGTTTTTTCCAAGTGCAGTAATTAATGCAGGTGATTGATAAATATAACTGTAAAAATCTGATGGCCTATTACAGGAATTTTGTATTTTACTTCAAAATAGTCTATTGAAATTTGCGAAGTTGTAGCTTATGCATAATCCAGTTTCTTGTAAAATTTGAGTACATGTAAACCTCTGCAACACATTGAATGTGAAACTTTTTTTCTTGTTTAAAGCATATTGGCTATTTTTTTCAATTTATTAAAATTTAAGTTTTGCCATGACTTTATCATCAATGATGCTAAGATTCTTCTCTGATTTCAGATATAAAAACCAATATCAAC